AGCACCAAGGAGCCTAGGTGTTAATTGCCCTCCTTATCATTGAGCAACAGATAAGCATGTGCAAGACACATATGCTGTTCTGTGAGGCCTGTTGCTGTGTATTTTTGTTGGAAGGCCCTTGCCTTGTATTTATACACCTGTTGAATGCTACTACAGAATATGCAACAAAGATGTGTTTGTGCTTTCAAAAGAAATAAAATGTGTATACTGTATATGTTTTACCATGAAAGTTTCATGTAACAGATGGACAATTGAAAGCAGAATTTTGCCCAGATCCTTTTTCAATATGACACAGGAACTAAATTTGATAGATCAATGGAAGAGAATAAATTTGGGGGAAAAAGAATTCATGTTCTACTCTAACCCACACAAATCGTGGTCTAGATTAGACATGGTATGGATGAACGCAGAACTAGGAAACCAACTAGGTCCTGGGCATGGGACTAGATAGAGATTATGACAAATGTATGTGCTGATCATAACCCATTAAAAATAACTTGGAAAGGAAGGAAAAGGAAGAGTAGAAGGTGGATACTTAATCCCCAAATTTTAAAAGAGAAAGATTTTGTAGAGAAAATTAAGAAAGAAATGGAACTTTTTTTTTAAGGAAAATACAGTGGAGCAAACATTATTACAGAATTTATGGGATACAGCAAGAGCAGTCTTGAGGGGGCTGGTAACAGCATATACAGCGAAAAGGAATAAGGAAAGATGGCAAAATCAGAATAAATTACAGGAGGAGATTAAAGACCTAGAAAGTAGATTACAAAAAAAAAAAAACACAAGATGAAAAATTGAGGAGAGAGATGATTCTTACTAGGCATAAATTGAACTTTATAAATCAGGAAGAGAGAGTTAAAGAGGTGAAAAGGCAAAACAGAATTTTTTCGAACATGCAAATAAACTAGGGAGGTGGTTAGCCCATAAATTAAGATTAGAAAGAGAAAGAACGTTGATACAAGAATTGGAGGAGGAGGATGGAAAATTAGAATATCGAATGACTGAGAAAAAGAAAATAGTACAAAAATATTTTGAACAACCATATAGGGAGGATGGAATAAACCCTGAGAATATAGAACAATATTTGAAAAGGAAAGGTCTCCCAGAAATTAGAGAGGAACAGAAAGAGATATTAAATAAAGAAATAACAGTGATGGAATTGAAAAGGGCGGTTGAAAGGCAGAAAGATAATAAGACGCCAGGGCCGGATGGTCTTCCAGTGGAATTGTATAAATGTATTTATGAATGTCTTGAACCAGTGATGTTAGATGTGTACAATGAGGTATTAGACTTTGCTAAATTACCCGATTCATGGAGAGAAGTGAATATCTCACTAATTCCTAAAGAAAATTTAGATCACAGATTAAAAATTATAGACCAATCTCACTCCTGAACGCAGACTATAAAATATTCGCAACAATGTCAGAAAGACTAAAAATGATATTACATGAACTTATTCATATTGACCAGAACGGTTTTCTACCTTCTAGACAGATAAGGAACAATATAAGGATAGTATTAAACGTATTAAAATACTATGAGGCCCACCCGGGAAAGCAGGCAGCATTGATTTTCTTGGATGCTCAGAAGGCTTTCGACAACCTCAGCTGGCAGGTCTTGATCCAACAGGTCAAAAATATGGGATTTAGATCTAAATTTAATCAAATGATTGGCACAATTTATTTGAACCAAAAAGCTAGGGTAATTATAAATGGGGAGATTACTGAAAACTTTAAGATTATGAAAGGTGTTAGGCAGGGATGTCCAATGTCGCCTCTGCTTTTTATCTTGACCATCGAAGTGCTTTTAAATCAGATTAGACAAAGAAAGGAGATAATTGGACTGAAGAGCAAAAAAGAAGAATATAAAGTACAGGCGTTTGCAGACGACTTAGTGTTTTTTTGTGGAAAATCCAATGGAGTCAGGGACCTATCTAATCCAAGAATTAGAAGAATATGGGGCGGTAGCAGGATTAAAAATTAATAAAGATAAAACAAAAGTAATAACCAAAAACTTGATAGAAAGTCAAAAAAAAAATTGGAAAGGAAATTGGGACTACAAAATGTCAAAAAACGTAAATATCTAGGAATTTGGTTAACAGGAAGATGCTCTTCCATAAAAGAGGATAATTATATGAAATTACTTTCACAGATAAAGAAAGATCTGGCCAATTGGGGAAAATTACAACGATCACTATTAGGCCGAATAGCGGCCATAAAAATGAACATACTACCGAAACTATTATACTATTTTCAAACAATACCTATAAAATTGGATAAGAAATTTTTTCAGGAATTAGATAGGACGGTAATGAAATTTATATAGATGGGGAAAAAAGCACGAATAAAATTGAAAATGTTACAAGATAGTAGAAGCAGAGGCGGCCTTGGACTCCCAAAACGGGAAACATATTATCAAGCAGCAATTATACTATGGGTTAAGGAGTGGATAAACTTAAAAAATAAAAGAATTTTGGTGATAGAAGGTCATGACCTCCAAGTTGGGTGGCATGCCTTTCTATGGGATAAAAAGAATAAGATCCACTCCTATTTCCATAGACATTTGATAAGGGACTCACTTTTACAAACATGGGAGAAAATAAAAAAAAGCATTATTTGAAAAGACCAAACTGGATCTCACCTATGGAAGCTATATTATATCCAAATAAAAGGGACACTTAAAAAAATGATTAGATATAAAGAATTGTTAGATGAACAGGGGGAATTAAAAACACTAGATAAACTGAAAGAACAAGGGATAATCTGTTGCAGTTCATTCAATCTGATCAGAGGAAACCCTAGAGAGAATCCTCACACGTGTTATCAAGCTGAGTCGCTGTGGCGATGGAGAAGCTGTAGGAGACAAAGATCAAATGCGCAGAGAAAGAGAACACAGTAGCTCAGGGGTGGATATGCAAGTGTAGCTAGAAACATTCCACAAAATACAATTCTGTTTGTATTTTTGTCTGCCATCAGTGGTCTCCAGTTGTGTGTGTGTGTGTAGCAGTTCATTGTGTTACACATCTTCAGTGCAGGCATAAGATATGTTCATATCATAGTCATCTGTGGCAAGGCACAATGATGTCAAGATGCAAATGTCATCACTTGCCTCCCTTGCTCCCAATGGGTAGCCATAGATCACACGGCAGAGATTTGAACAAAGTATGACAGGATTTCAATAGGTTGCAAAGCCACACATAAATTCAACTGCGTTTACAGAAAATGGAGTTGCTGTGCCCTAAGAAGCACCGCAAAAAGGCAAAGTTTTAAATACGAACAAAGCAGGGCTTAACCACAGTACAAACGCCAATTATTTGGCAGAAGAAGAAGCTGAAGACTTCTTTTTGAAATGGCAAGCACGTGTCCTCACTCACCATCCTGTGGATGTACTTAGTATGTAAACCATGTTCATCTTTGTCCAGCTGGGATTCAGCCCCTTCAACATCCTGTTTGTATTTTGGACTGATTGCTATGATTATCATTACTGTCCTCTGTCAGAAAGAGAAACACTTCTATGAAATCATAAAATGCAGTACAGTTGGGCAAAAACAGCTGGGAAATCTGCCAGCTGGGGTTTTACGTGATCTGATGTTCCCTGGAAGCATAAGGCAAGCCAGTTCCTTTTGGCAGTGAAATGGTATAGTATACATTGCAATTCCTCATACCAGATTTCCCGGATCTCCCATGAAGCACAGTTTAATTTAACAGGGAGATAAAATATTTTTCAGCATTGGCCGTGCTGAATCACAAAACTCACCAACTCAGCCTATTGGACATAATTCTGCATACTGTACAAACCACACACGCACACACACACGCACACACACACACACGAGAATGCATATTTATAATGTTGATTCTCACAGCTTGGAATAGCTAAGAAGCTGTGGAAGAAATTAAACACCTCTTATTTTCAAGAGAAGCCACAACATTTAAAACTTATTTTTAGGAGGTAGATTTAAAAACAAACAAGCCATAATGACAAAGATTCTCGTTTCATAAAGGAGAATTCATACACTGTACTAATTCACACTGATTCATATACACTGTATTAATTCACACTATGGCTTTAAAAAAAAAAGATTTTGTATCCTATCTGAAACCAGAAGGAACACCACAATTTATAGCAGGACTAGTGGACAACCTTTTCTGCTTGGTAGAGTATGCTCTAAGGGACATGGTGGCTCAATGGCTAAGATGCTGAGCTTGTCGATCAGAAAGGTCGGCAATTTGGCGATTCGAATCCCTAGCACAGCGTAATGGAGTGAGCTCCCATTACTTGTCCCAGCTTCTGCTAACCTAGCAGTTTGAAAGCATGTAAAAATGCAAGTAGAAAAATAGGGACCATTTTGGTGGGAAGGTAACAGCGTTCCGTGCGCCTTCGGTGTTTAGTCATGACGGCCACATGACCACGGAGACGTCTTCGGACAGCGCTGGCTCTTCGGCTTTGTAACAGATGAGCACCGCCCCCTAGAGCCTGAAACAACTAGCACCTACGTGCGAGGGGAACCTTTACTTTTACCTAGAGTATGCTCTTATTATATTATCATCTTCAGTTGGCTGAGGGGTAAAAGAGACAGTAATGCAATAAGGGGATGAAGCCAAAATTATCAGTTTGTTCTTTGGGGAGTATATGTGTCACTTTTGTAGGTATATGAAGCTTATTGGAAGTGTAGCACATGCTTCCTTTAGTTTATCACTGAACACTGGCAGGATATTGATTTGGAGGACTTACCAGTCACTATGGCATGCACATTGTTGGGGCATAGGTACAAAGCTTTGGAAACTGCCTTTTATCTACAGTTCATTATTTCCTTATCTAGTCTTACATGAGTACTAAGCCAACATATGCAAACTTATATGTCCAGCAGGCTGTTTCTTGCAGAACCTAAGTTCACATAATGAATTAAGCAAAAATTTAATCTTATTTTGTAAACTGAACCCCAATTTCCCGGGTTTACATGACATACCCATATATAAAACTATGAGTTAGTTTAGTTCAATATGTAAATCAAGTTCTCTTGGCAACTCACTGCTGCTCATATGTTTCTTTGAATCCAATCCAAAATATACAGCATAGCTAATTGATGTGCTTGATGTTTTTGTTCTCTCTCTCTCTCTCTCTCTCTCTCTCTCTCTCTCTCACACACACACACACACACACACACACACACACATTCCTGTACATAACACAGACAAGATGAATAGCTCATTACTCAGAGAAAGATTCCTCAAAATGATCATCAAAGGAATGTTGCTGATAAAAAGAGAGCCAGGCTTTCTCTTCTCAGTTGCATCCATTTTAAATTTGAGGAAAGGGGAGGGAGACAGAGCAGGAAAAATATTAATAATTAAGCCACGTGCAGAGGAGAGAAAAGATTCCTATTTTAGTTCACTGTGTCTAAGGAAGCAACCTTAGGTATACCATGCAGGAAAAAAGTACAAGGTTTACATTTTATCTTTACTTACATCACTTAGATAACGTTCCATCCACTTGATAATATCAATTCCTCGGACGGTGTCTTCAAATATGTCAATCTGTTAAAAAGTGAAAATACTAATATGATTTTTTTAGTTCTGACTGCTCTCTTTAACCTTAATTCAACATTGGCATCCTTTCCAAATAGTTTGATTTTAAAAGCTTTCAATGCAAATATACCTAGACCAACAATACTGTCCATTAAAAAAAAAAAATCACTACTATGTTTAGTACAGCTTGGTAAAAATGTTACAGTTCATTTCACAGTGGAGAAATTGGCTAAATTAACTAGATGAATCCTGGAAAAAACAACCCACTTGTATGATAAGGCCTTGCCTGCTTTGCACCTGTGCCATCCCCATGGTGACCTCACCTGCCCCAAAGGTTACACTCGCATGTCATAAGCAATGATTTACAAACCACAGTGCTCAAATTCATACGACACATTTTGCCAAAATGGTGAGCGTTGTGTTAAAATACTGCATACTGTTTCGACCCAACCAGGATCTTTCTGAGTCTCAGCAAATGGATCTCCTTTGGTCATGGACAGAAAAGGAAGCTCTTGTTAAGAGTAAGCCAAATTTCTTGCGTCCATGGATTGCAAAATGCCAGGCCAACTTCCGCCATTACACATCATGAATTATACAATATTTAATGTATGTTATAAACTATACAATATTTAGGTAGGCAGGCACATTCAAAACAAACACTACCACTTTGAATTTAGAGCTGCCTCTGTTCAGATATTCTCACGTTTTTTCTTGGTGAATATTGTGAACCCAGAATAAAGTACTTACTGCAGTCTGAAATCCATTTACAAATAAAAAGTTCACAAATTTCATAACCTCCACAGCTGCGTCCACGGAATAGGTTATAAACACTTTACCTAGTATAGAGAAGTATAATTATCAATAAATAAAACAGGTGTGCTTTGAAACAAAGTAGTTATGAATTCCAAAGAATTCACAAAGGCAGCCTACTATGAGTAGCTGCAAGATGATATGCTGCAGAACAGGTGGCAGGTATGGCCAAGAGGCCTTTTAAACAAGTACCAGAACATCTAGTGCATAAATTTTATCCTTCCTGGACCAGGAGATTCTCCAAACAGCTGGTAATGCCTTGGCCACCTCACAAGTGGACTATTGCAATGCATTCTACACAGGGTTGACCTTGAAGACTACTTAGAACAGGGATCGCCAACCTTTTGGATTTCAGGGACCACCAAACGGATACTTTTAAATCCCGCGGACCGCTAATATGAATTTTGACTGACAGTGGCTTGCTGACGTTGGCGGGAAAGTCGGTCCCATATTCCAGAGCTGCAGTAGTCACAAGACTGGCCCTTTGGTCATCCCGGAGCAGCTGCTCCTCTACCCGGGTGCACCGGCCTGACATGGACTGGAGGAGCTGTTCCGGGATGACCAAAGGCCAGTCTTGTGACTACTGCAGCTCTGGAATATGGGACCGATATTCCCGCCAACGTCAGCAAGCCACCCCCGGGGCGGATTTCCCTCCCCCAGCGTTGGTCTTACCTTCCAGTTCCAGCTCGCATGGCTCTACTCAAGGTAAGGTTTGCGCTTAGCTGAAGGGTGGGGGCCAGCGGGTGGGAAAGCCATGTGGGTGGAGCAGCCTTGTGTTCCTGCGCAGCCTGGATTAATTGGTTTGGGGGGAACATTTCTCTGCGGACCACCAAAATTTTCTCATGGACCACCAGTGGTCCCTGGACCACTGGTTGGCGACCACTGACTTAGAGGGTGCAGCTGGCAGTGGTGCAGACAGCCATGGGCAGACTGCATTATGCCGTTGTGACCCATGAGTTTTATGGCTTACCCATTGGCTTCTGGGTGCAATTCATGGTGCTGGTTAATCTCTCAGAACTGATGATGTTCAGGAAGTATTAAAACCTAGCTGTTCTGCCAAGTTTGGGGGAAGATTGATGGTTGAGCCTATTGCATGAGGGAGGGGAGTGTTTATACGTTTGTCCTCTTGCAGCTTATCGTTTGCTTTTTGTACTTGTTCTTGCTTTTTAACTGTAGGCTGCCAAAATCATCACAAATCAGGTGCCGCTAAATTGTATATATGCAACTCTAAACAGACAACTACAAGGTGACACACCTAGTCTCAACAGGGACCTTTGGATTTTAGTCATCAGGCAAGTCTGCAAGAGCAGAGTTCCCCAACCTTTCTGGCTTTGTGGACCGGTGGGGGTGGGGAGAGAATGGCTCCAACTGAGTGGGGGGCAAGCTGCTCACTACTCACCCACCAATTCCGGAGCCCAGTTCCAAATGGCTCAAGGCCCAGTAGTGGGCCGTGGCCTAGGGGTTCAGGACCTCCGTGTAAGAGTAAAGACATCCCTAAAATTCAAACCTCAAATTGTTTACAGCTGTAGAAGTCAAAACAAAACCTGTGGTGATGAAATTAATCCAGGCAAATGCAGACGAAATATTGACCTCTTTCCTCAGCAGATACAAGGCACTGTGCACACTAAACTACAAGAAACATTGTTAAAGCTTCCACTTTCACACTTATCTGATAACCAATGAGCCTGAACCTTAGCAAGTGAAGGATCAGAACTTGCCACTGACCAATACAACTTACCTTTTAAGGAGTTTGTTTTTTTGTCCACAAGTATCCATACTGGCTGTATAGATAAGCCCAAAATTTAATGACTATTCAGTGTATTGAATACATTTGCCAACTATAGGTAGTCATTGATTTACAACAGTTCATTTATTGACCATTCAAAGTTACGACGGCATTAAAAACAATGACTTACGATTGTTTTTCACACTTACGACCATTGCTTTATCTCCATGGTCATGTGATCAAAATTCAGATACATGGCAACTGATTCATTTCAACAAGATAAAATCTTCAAACTTTTTGTTTTCCTTCAGCTTTTTAAAACTTTGTCCCTGCTTGTGTTTTTAATCCTGTTCTTTGAGTGTTTTTCTTTTCATTTTGCAAACTTAAAGAGACACTCAGACTTAATAGGCTAGCTATATAAATAAGATTTATAAGAATGTCTTTCACATTTTTTGCTAATATAACTCTAGAAATCCCTCAATCAGCGGAAGAACTCAATAATGCAAAAATGGCATGTGATACATGTTAGGGAGGTGATGATCTTTACTTATTATATACAAAACTAACAAACAAGAAACAGCAGAAGCTTACGTAGCTCTTCAGGCAAGTTGCTGGTCCTTAGTGTCCCTCTGGCTGCAGAGTTATTCAAGGGTCTTGGGATAGGCCCAGGGGTGGACATGCTGTCAGACTGAGCCATGGAATTGAAAGGAAATCTCTCTATGCCCTCATGGGCACCGTATATTTTGAATGGTGTGTTATTCTCAAGGATCTGCTTCTGAAACTGGTCACTAAGAAGAAGGGAAAAAAAAACCCACTGTAAATTCTGAAAATGGTCAAAGCTCATGACTCTGAATGCATGTTTGGTGTTCTTTCTTAATAATAAAAGTATAAAGATTCTCTGTGTTCAGAGAAAGCTGGGGGAAACTGCATTTATAGGCCAGGGAAGATTAAAGACCTCACCCAAAAGCTTCTTTTGTTTTAAAATGCAAAAAAATAATAATGAACTAAGCTTTCTCCTCTTTGCTGAAACAGAATTGGGGCAGACTTGATTTAAACCAGTCTGCCACCATTTGTAATTGGGGCCTGACAGGACTGAAGATGCTCAATGACAGTGCAATCCTGCAAGCAGAAGTCCTAATTAGTTCAATATAATTTGTTGCTCAACATAAAGATTGGAGGAACTCGTATCAATACTTCTTGAAATATATACTTTCTGTGTGCCAAATGTATCCAAGCTCTTGAAAAGACCATCAGGATTTTAAAAGAAGTCTGCCACTAGCATTTTTACTTTTTTTGATTTCAATTATTTCTTTTGTTCTGTTTATTATCTTAAAAATCAAAAGAAATCCTGAAGCATTTGACAGGAATCTTGAGATCTCCTCTTCCTGTGGGATAAAAACAGTTCTGTGATTTCAATCAATCCTGAAGACAGGGTGACTGTAGTTGCCAATCCTTTGTAAAGAGGGAATTGTAAATCAAAGGGGGATATCAAACCTCCATTAAGGCTTAGAGCAGGAAACACATGTATGTTAGTCACTATCTGCACTGCATGGAGAGTGCATTTCAAACAGACTTGGCCCCTTGGAGAAGCAGTAACATACAATACGTGGGCACGCAGACATACATCCTTACTATGCAAGATGAACAGTCTATGTGGAAGGACAATGTTTTCAATCTAATTCCAAATTGGCCTTCAAATTAGTTTCATGGGAGATGACAAGACGGTATGTGCAATCCTACATTACTAGAAACTCCACCCAATTTTAATTCCAAATCCTCCCACACACTGTTTGACTTATACCATAATTTAGTGAGTCTTCATAATTTAGTTACTAGATAGAATCTAGCTCTGGGTGAATAATCCAAAGAGGCAGGAGAAGAGAAAGCACTACATCTAGAAAACCTAGAAGCTAACAAGAAGACAGACATGAAATTACTGAACCTGGAACAGAAACAAAGTACTTAGGAATTATTTTGTTTCCCTGCCAGAAATCAGAGGCCTGTGAGAAGCAGTAGAGATTCATACCAACAAGGCAATTTAGCCGGGGAAGACCACTCAATTTGCCTCAGTGAAATTACAAGGAGGTTTTAAATTACGTTAGGCTTATGTACATGTTGTAGATGACCTCACAGCAATAAATTACTATGCTCTTGAGGTGAGAAGCTTAAGAGAAAGAGGAAAAAAAAGATTTGCAGTTTCACTCAGAACCTTTAGATCACAGGTGTCAAACTTGCAGCATTATGTTGCCCTCACATGATGTTACACGGTGTTTTTCCCCCTTCGCGGAGCTAGGGTGGGCATGGCCTGCACATGATGCATCCGGCCCGTGGGCCACCAGTTTGACACACTAAGGTAATTTCTCCACTAATGATTTAACCGTGTCTTCAAAAATCATCCAATCAAAAGTTGTGTCAAAATAACAGCAATGACAGTCTTTATATCCGATCAATCATGGCCAAATGATGCTGTAAATCACTAGCAATGAAATGGCCAAATCCACTTTCCTTCATTATTGTCAATTCATTTGTAATTTTGCCCATTTCTAGTGTTCTCTTTTACTAAGTCAGTGGCTCAGTAAATTTAAGCTTGTCTGAATCTGAAACAGCCATTCTTCATTCAATTTGGAACAAATATAGTGGTGATATTCTACCGGTTCGGCAGCCGGTAATGCCGATGAGCAACGGAAACTGAGCCGTTTCTCTCTGCCTCTCTGCTGTTGGGCCGACCCGCCCTGCCCGGGCTCCCATACTAACCTTTATGTCCTGCTTTTGAAGCGCAGTTGCTTTGTGCGGCATAGAAGATTGCCGCGCGGCAGCTGCTGAAGCGCCAGGGAGAGTGCAGGATTGCAGGTGAGTCAAAACACCACTCCGCCTGCAAACTGCGCATTTGGCATGCACTTGTGCGCAAAGTGTGTGCACGCGTGCAAAGCACACCCATCAAGCCATGCCCACCGAACTGGTGGTAAAAATTTTTGAAACGCATCACTGAACAAATAATGACTAAGTTAGGCAGTAGTTTTAAATTCTGGTTCACAGTAACTAGAAATAGAACCTATTTGTATATACTTAGGTACACACTCAGGTACCCCAATTATAGGAGCAAATGAGATGGCAGGTGAAATGGCAATATATGTGCTGATATTATCCAGGCAAAGATTAGCATACCGTTCATACACATACGATGCTAAAATAATCATCATTAGCTTTGCCTGCAAAAAATGAAATAAACTCCAAGGTTGGAAAAAAACTTACTGAAATCTCTGAAGTCCTTCGGAAGAGCTTTCCCCCCGAGGCAGCCTTTCTTCATTACACTTGGGTCCACGTGGACTAGAATAATGTGGGATTATTTGCTGAGCAGGGCGAGTGACTCTTACACAAGGGCCAGGAAGAGGAAGTTGCACTTGAGGTGAACGTGCAAAATGTTGATACGGGGTTTGTCCATCTAAGCATAACAGAAAAGAAAAATTCAGGCCATTGTATAAGTGAGACTCCTTTCCATGAAGGTAAATAGATGGTACAGGCAGTCCTTGACTTACAACAGTTCGTTCAGTGACCGTTTAAAGTTACAACAGCACTGAAAAAAAATGACTTATGACCATTTTTCACACATACGATTGTTGTGGCATCCCTATGGTCATGTGATCAAAATTCATATGCTTGGCAACTGGCTCATATTTATGACGCATCCTGGGGTCAAATGATCACCTTCTGCAACCTTCTGACAAGCAAAATCAACGTGAAAGCCAGATTCACTTAACAGCCATGTTACTAATGTAATAACTGCAGTGATTCACTTAACAAATGTGGTAAGGACGGATGCAAAAAGGGGCAACATTCCCTTAAAAAGATCTCACTTAGCAACAGAAATGTTGGGCTCATTTGTGGTCGTAAGTCAAAAATGAACGGGTATGATGGCATGATCAAATTGGATGCATTCCTTGCACCAAGACATGGTTTTATTTATTCACATTTTATTGAATAAACCCCATATGCAACTCGCTCAGGCTGCACATGGTTCAAAAGCCATTTGGAAGAAGTGATTGGGATTCCTGCAAGCACAGCATCCCTGTGCTATTCATTACATTAGGCATGGCATTGAATATAGTAATGTCACACATTAAGATTATTTTCTTAAGTGTAGCTTACTGAATAATCTGGGTTGGCTGGAATCACTTGATTAAGGCTGCATAATGAATTCACACAATATATGAAACCAAACCCCATAAACTACAACGTTAGAGTTTAGTATGACACAAACCCTGCCAATAAGGACAATCATTTTACAAAAATACAGTAAATAGATGTCCTATCAGAGGAAACACCATTTATGACTAATGAGCTTACATGGATTCTGGCAGTACATATTCTGATTGTAGCATCTTGGACGCCACTGAGCTTGTGGTGGAATATAAAGATGGGGCATCTGTGGAAATAAAGGGTATGACTGAGAATCCATCTGGGGATATTCTCTGGACATCAGAGATTTTGGAAGGTCTTGTGGGTTCAGAACAGAAGTAAAGGACAAGGGAAGCTCAGGTTGTCCAATGCCCAGAGCATCCTGAGGCTGAGAATCATATCCTGCATCTTCTGTCCTTAGGTCTACTGGCACCCTATCCTCGTGCTGCCAGTTGGGCTTTATGTTTTCCTGATTTTCACCAAACGAATGCTGGGATATTTCAGAGGAACTTCTTTGCAAATTACTAGAACTGTGCCCGATGTCAGGAGAATCAGCGGATGATTGAGACCTCAAGAGCTGGTTTGTTTTGTGTTGCGGCAAATGATTCCATTCTGAAAGGTCTGTTGAGTTGCTGGATGGGCCAGGAAACTGCCCACTTGTAGAATCATAGGTGTCTTGTGGAAGACTATGGCCATAAGTTTCTAGTATGCCATTATTATAATTGATATGATCAGGATGCTTATAGAATCCCAGTTGCCCATTCATCGGATGAGATGTTTGAGGTGGATAAGATCCCATAGGCATTAAGTTATTTATATCTTCTGCAGAAGGGTTCGGAGCCTCTTTCAGTGAATGTTCTGGAAATGGAGACCAGTCAATAGTTTCATCCACTTCAACTGGCATACTTCGACCCATTGTAGCGCCTAAAGTGGAGTGGGGGGGGGAATATACAGTATTAAAAAATTCTATTATTTACTCTAGATAAGAGTACTTTGTAATGAATTCAGATGTGCTCCTAGCAATAAAATGGGAACTCTGAGAAATGGAAGCAACACATCTAGAAGACAAGGTAAAGTTGGGATTGGCTGAATTGTATTACATAATTGGAAATCTTACGGAAATACTTTAAAGAGATGACTGACTTGGCCAACACCTGCCTAGATGCCTGAAAAAATTTAGATTGGCATAGTTAGAGCTTTGATTGCTCCCTTCACCACAGTTCTTTTTGCTTTCCACCCAATCCTTAGGGCCTAGTCGATCAGTGGAGGGAACTGAGCTGGCAAAATCTTCCCCAAAAGTTTGTGAGAAACTGACATATTCTAATGCATTTGACATAATTCATCTGGTTCAAGACTAGACAACCATGTTCTGTTTTATCGGCAGTGGTTCAGTCTGAATAAAAGGCTTTGCAAAATGGCAGTACAAAACACTAACCTTGTAAGGATGTCATTCTGTAGGAAATCTATGGAAGTACCAAGTACAAATGGTAGCTAAGGAGGGGAAAAGGAGAAAATACAAATCACAGCAGAAATAAACAATCGTGATCATCATTCACAGAGCAGATAAGAAAAAGATTTATTTCCATAAATAATTTCTAATTCTAATTTCCACTCATTGAAATGGCTGAAAGAGGAAATATGGGATCCCATTTAATCAATGCTTGTTTTATGCCCTTATTGCTTTTGATTAATTGTATCATGCTCTGAGCATGCTCTGATGTAGCTTGTGTGATATTCAAATAAACAAGTAATCAACCAATTTTAAAACACTTTTCTTCACCTTAGAGTTCTTCAGATGTTTGGGAACCACAACAGGAAGAGGAAGGAATGTGGGGTATGTTCCCTGCCTTAACTTACCTATAAAGAAATAAAGACAAGGTAAGAATACTATACATAAGTTTCAGTCAACTCATTTTCAATCAACAGAATGATTTTGTATTTATGTCATGGAGACATTAAAAAAACATATTGAGTTGTTCTTTTGGTAGGCATGGACAGCAATATAGGGCATTGCAGGCCAAAGCAACTAGACACAGGGACAGATTGTTTCCTTTGTGCCATCACTCGACTGAACACCTAATTCTCACAGTGCTGTCTAATGTCTCAGTGTATTTACTCACGTAGTATGGCTGTATTATTATTTATCCTTATCTTTTTTAAACCCCCCCCCCTTATTGGTATTATTATTATCATTATTCTGTTGCTTGCGTGCACATTGAGAGCTTCTGCACCGGAGACAAATTCTGTGTGTGTCTAATCACACTTTGTCAAATACAGTATTCAATTCAATTGTATCTAAACTTGGTGATGAATATTTTAGGCATACATCACAACAAGTTCCCAACTTCAAAATTGCACGTGCATTTTTTTGTATCAGAATCAATAAACCTCTATAGCAGAGGTATCAAACTTGATTTCATTGCAGGCTGCATCAGGGTTGTGTTTGATCTGGGGGGCAGGCAGGATGGGCATGGCTGGGATAGGTGTGGCCAGCTCAACATACTTATGTCAGAGGCACCTGTGGTGGCCAAGTGCTAAGGCAGGGCTTCCCTCAGGCCCTCTCTCACTCTCATTATAATCTCCTTCCTTCCTTCCTTCCTTCCTTCCTTCCTTCCTTCCTTCCTTCCTTCCCTACCTCCCTCCCTCCCTCCCTCCCTCCCTCCCTCTTCCTTCTTTCCTTCTTTTTGTCTTTCCTCTTTCCCTTTCTCCTTTCCCGTCTCTTCTTGGATGCTCAAATGCAAAAGGGGAAACATTTCTCCTTTTGTTTTTAGTTTGTTTTGCTAGCCCTCTGCCAGCAAAAATGGAGCTCAGGCCCCGTTTTCAGCGGTGACAGCTTCCTGCATCTCTCTGTCAGTGAAAATGGACCTGGGGGGGAAGAGGGGGCTCCATTTTCACTGGCAGAGCTGCAGGAGACCATCACGGCTGATAACAGGGCAGGTCCTTTGCTGCTTCCAGAGTGGCCCCAAGGACCAGATCTAAGCAACCCCTGGGCCGGATTCGGCCCGCAGGCCTTAAGTTTGACACCCCTGCTCAATAGTATCGGTATCATGAAAATCAATGAGCTACACATTTCGAGATGCTATGGAAGCTGCTACTTTCAGTCTTCTAAATATGAAAAAAAAAGCAACTGCACGATCCCTGATTTACACAGGACTGTATGCTGACTAGAGAATTCTGGGAATTGAAGTCCGCACATCTAAAGTTGCCAAGGTTGAGAAAGACTGCACTAGATCAACTAGTTCCTTTTCCCCACTCATTCCCACCAGACAGAAGGTGCCATTAGTGAGGGAAGGAAAATATCAGGCTTAGGTTTCTAATAAATGGAGTGTTAGTTTCTCCATTCTGACCTGTGCAGCTCTCTGGTCCAAAAATCAATGCATTTCATTTGAGGAAGCACATGTTCTTCATGGTTAATTTTCTTGCCAAGTTTGGAAGAATAACAATGAGCTCCAGGAGAGCTGACTTCAAGTATTTCTTCAAACCTTGCTCCAGTTGCATAAAGGGAAAAATTCAATAATGAACTGAAACAAATCCAAATTAATTTTTTAAAACTTTTTGCAGAAGAAAAACAGCTGAGAATGATTTTAAGACAGCAAGAGTTCTATACATTTTAATACCAGTCACTTCCACAATCCCAGAAAAAGACTTAAAATGTATTTAATTTTACAGAATAAGGGTCCCCCCTCAAGGAAACTTCATAAGAAATAAGCTGAATCAGAAAACTATTCTGAGCCTCTGAAGTATCAGGCTAAGACTCATCCTGATCTAAACAGTTTCAGCATTTTAAAAAATATAAAGGAAAAAAACAACTTTCTCTGTATCGTATTGCCACTTTCTCATTTCTACTCCTTTAGTCATAATTTAACTCCTACAAAATTAAACAGAAATGAAGAATACAATAGACAAACATCTATCAAGTCCACAGATATCTAGTGTTGAAATATAATCCAAAAAGTAGGGCTTACATCTATATGGACTGTAAAAGTGTCACATCTGAGCAAGGAAGCATTTTTTTTCTGTAGTATTTAAGAATACTTTTAATTTCATTTCTCCTTTCCTTGTCTAGAATTATCCAACTCAAGAATCTTTCTGTAGACAATCCTGAAGCCTCCCACAAACGGAGAGGCAGAAATCTCACCCCCCCCCTCTTACAAGCAAAAAGACCCAGCTGTGGAATCTATGCATCCTGCAACTGCCCTGTCAGTATGACTGAAGGCAGATGAAACTCCAGGGATGGAGGTGGGGTGGGGTGGAACTGTTTTCGTTTGGCTCAGATACCAGCACACAGCAGCATTTAAATGATTGCTGGATAATGAATCCAATCAGGCTGTCAAGTGGGAAAGGGGAGAGGAATCAAATAAGATAATTTGTTTGGATAATTTGCCCTGAACGAGTCCATATTAAGTTTTAATTCATATCCAATCATGGCCAGCATTTTGGAAGGAAGAAGTGAGAGAGAGAGAAAAAAAACAGAATCCCTTCTGCTCCAACTATTTGTGCATTTCTTAAGACAATTTGAACCTCATTGAAATCTCTGTACTTTCCCTTTTAAAGGCATGCGTCAGCCTGTGAAATCTCCAAAGAACAAGGCTGACTATAAACTCCCTCTGCTTTTGATTAAATCTTTTCTGACAGTAGAGAAGAAGAATGTGGAGTAACACATGGCAAGCTAGGTAGATTCCAGCTTCAAAGGCCATGCTGTTAGTTGAAAGAAACAGCTAGGAAATAGGAAACAGGGAGTGGGGGGTCCTGAGCATGTAACAGCACACTAGTTGAGAGAGAAATGCAATTTGGTTTACAGGCTTTTTCAACAAAAGCATTCTTCCTAAATTAGGATATGAAAAGAGGCCCACAGCCTAATGGACATTCCCTTTTCCCTAATTCTAATTTCAACTATTGTACTATCAATTTGGGATTTTTCACATAAGTAGATGATCATTCATTAAGAGAGAAGGAGTGGGATACAGAATTGCCTTAAAGTGGTGCCAACCACAGCATGACTGATGAGAAACAGTGCTGGAAAATTCATACTGAGGCACCACCACTAAGAAGGCCCTGCTCCTGATATCCATCAATATAGGGACTCCTCTATATTTAGAGACACATCTAATAGGGAGAGACCACTGAGGCTTAACTTCCTTTTTCATTTTAAGTGGTAAAAGAACGTACTAACAGAAAACCTGGCACACCTCACTAAAACAGGCAGTTCATTGTTTTCTGTTCCGTTAATATATGTAGGCATCCAGCATTGTCTTGGGAGTTGGATGATCTTAACAAATCCAACAAATAAATGAATCCTAACTGTGATATGTTTACATTGTCAAAATGTCACCAGCCTCTCAAGGAGGTATTTTGCAAGTTCATTTTTGAGTAATATTTTGGCAACAAACCAGAGAAGACACCTCTACGTGTATATCCTTAAGGAGGGTTATTTCGTACATTAAAAACAGCTTGACATATTGATCCCCTGGTACAAGAGAAGCAGGTTGGGGACAGAGCCTCCTAAAGAAAATCTATCCAGGGGCCACTAAGAGTTTGACCCTGGCTTACGGCTTAATGGCACATAATCAATCAAGCTTATACAACTCTCGGCCAAGTCCTACAAGAGAATCTACAAGAGGCAAACCCGTTGTAGCTGGGCCTCCCAGCCATTTTTCGGTTGACAACACAGATTTATTGGCAACAGAATCCCCGACATCTGCGTTTTCAAAGTGCTCTCATGGCCTGAGATAATTCATGGCGGAGCCCAAGGTCTCACTGACTCCCAACTAGCCTGCTGCGGGAGTAAATCAGCAGCCAGGAAGGGAAACTTGGGCCCCAGCCGAGAAAAACAAGAGCAGCAGAGAAAACAGTGGGCCGACGGCGACAGCCAAACAGGTAAAGGAGGGGAGCTTTTAACAACTCACCTTTTAGACCCCAAAGGGGATCAGCAGGGCAGGGCAGACCACCCGGCCGCCTGGTCTCGTCCGTCCTCCTCTTCTCCCCCAGGTTGTCCCTTCCTGAGGTTTTCCTGGCTCCTTTTCTCCTCCTTTGCTCTGTCAGGTAAGTTGCCGAACAGGCTCCGCACCAGGAAGTAGATGTGTGTGTGTGTGTGTGTGTGTATGCAAATCGCGGGGGTGCGGGGAGGCAGAGTCGGACGCCTAGTTTTGAAAAAGTCAGAGAGCTGTCAGTCAGGGGAGAGGAAGTGCGCCTGATAACGCCCGAGGGAGGGAGCGTTTGACTAGAGAGGGTGGCTCAGGCGGCGAGGTTGGGCCCCTTTGGCTTTCGAGCTGGAAAGGGGAACGAGAGCG